CGCCCCATGCTCGACCTCCCGACGACGCGGTCCGGTTGTGGCGTTTTATACTCGTAATCGATTTTTTTTTTTTCACTCGTCGTCGTCATCATCGTGTAATTACATTATAATCTAGTGTTATTTTCAATATTATTATTATTACCGTACAATCGTACACATGACGTCCTGCTGCAGTTAATACAATAAAATAATAATATATAACACAATATTATTATATGTGTGAAACGCGTACCTACGCGAAACGCGATTGCGACTAGACCGTAATATAATAATAATAGAACAAATACGTCCTATATGGTCGTACGTAATCATTTYGTTATTGATTATCAGCGTATAGTACGCTCGCCTAACAATATTATCATTTATGATATTTTCCACTATTCGAATACGACATCGTTATCGACTATTGTTCAGCATATCACTCATGATATTTACAACTTTGCAAGTGCGTGTATTATCATAGTTGATGTGTGTGTCAGACACTACAAAAATCATTGCAAATCAATTCAATTACGGTAGTAAAAGATTTTCGAGAAGAAAAATTTGATACGTATCAAGGCCGACTCATCGGATACGGGTTGATACTTTTCGGCTTTCGCTGATGTATCGTTGGTTTTTTTGACAATATGGTGATTAATGACGACGGGTAAACGATTAGGTAGTGCGTATTTATTATTTCCAAGACTGATTGGAGTATATATGAGTTAAAATAAATAAAACCAAAACTATTCGTATTGGTTAAATATAAAAATATTATAGAACGGTTCGTTGCAAAGTTATAGTTGGTAAGTACTTTAAAACAAAACGAGGCTTATTACATTTAAACATAAAAAAAATAAATAATGTAATATACCTGCTTCTAGTCCACACAGCAAACTTTGTTCTGCCATATAAATGATAAAATAAATTTAAAGGAAGGATAAATCGAAAGTGAAATATTAAATTCGAAACTATTATTTTTTGTCGCGGTTATATACGTACTAACTTTTTTCTTTATATACGAATTTCACTTGTGAAAATTCAACATTCAGTTCATTCGATTCCGAATACGTACCTATCTRGGATATCTATCAGAAAAAAATATATAGTATAATATACGTAACGAGAGCATATCAGTTCCRATCAACATCGATAAATTATTGTTCAATTATATTTTGTTTGAAAATATCGTTAATTTTATTAATATATATATATATTATAAATATTATAGTGCTCAGTAGAATTAATATACACGCACATTACGCAAGTTTCAAAGTGATTGACATTGAGATCACAGCGTAGAATCGTCTCCGTCAACGATGTGACCAATCGAATACAATATTCATAACGGCATAGACGAAGCAACTGGTTGTACAGGAATGCATCGAAGTAATCGTCTAATAATTTCACGGCGCAACTTTATTGAGCAGGCCAGCTTCTGTGGTGCGATGATCGCAAAACGATGCATACACGCGAGATCACGTGTAATTATTATAAATCATAAGTACAGTCTCGGTGTAGTCGTTTGGATTAAATCAAGTGCAATGAAATCATTTAACTGATAATATTAATCTCAGTTGATAAATTAGTATATGTGTATATGTAAGTCAATAAGTTGGATCGTAAGTCGATAACAAAAAAAAGGTACTATTCGGTRGCGCGGGTAAATAGTAACCCTCGAAATCAATTTTTCTCCATAATTCCCTGTGCATACACTTATATCAGCAAAGAGTCAAAATGGGAGAGGAAGTAAGACGAAAATGCGCATAATTAATCGACCGGCGTGGCGTATATAAAGGTGTGACAACCCAGTTACAAAGATAGTTTTGACGATGTGCAAGATATGCAGCAATTTTAAGTACGTCCGAGGAAGTTTGATAATTTATGAAAACGGAAGAARAAATTGAGTTGATTGATCATTGGAAATTCAACTTAATGAGCGGGGTACTGAGACAGTTAGTAGGCAACTTACAAATAAACATAGAAACGGATACAACGTCATAGACAGCATAAGAAGTTAGCGAAAATGCATACCACGCAAATTAATGGTAACAATACAACTTCCAAAATTTAAACGTGATCCAGCAAAGTGATGGTTAAACTTTAAACATACATTCAAAGCTATAATACATGAAAATCAACAAATCTCTTCAATTCAAATTCGCCATTTCTTAGAAAAGCRCTCTTTTACATGGCTGAAAATATATGCAGCTACATACAGTCTTACTATACCGAGTCTTCAAACGTTAGAAAAAAAATAGTTAGTAATAAACTAGTAAAGTTGATTAATTGTGAGTCATTTCCACAAACAATGATAGAATCTTGTAAAGCAAAATGCAAAAAATAAGGATTTTAATGTTTTAACTAATTTATTTATTTTACGTCGGTAAGCGGCTTGAATTTTTTTCACTAGATCATTTTCTATTAAATTTATTATTATTAATGTGAAGTCTTATATATAAATATCAAACAATGATAGAATCTTGTAAAGCAAAATGCAAAAAATAAGGATTTTAATGTTTTAACTAATTTATTTATTTTACGTCGGTAAGCGGCATGAGTTTTTTAATCGGCGATCTCTTGTCGTTCGTTGAACTACGACTATACAATAATTGCAAGTCCGCTATGGTACTACCATTATTTGATATTTATATATAAGACTTCACATTAATAATAATAAATTTAATAGAAAATGATCTAGTGAAAAAAATTCAAGCCAATTTGAAAAAAAAAAAATTAATGTTAGTATCATGTATAATTCCAAGATTCAAACTTTTTAGCTTGGTTATACTTAGATATTATCATTTTCAACTAACGAAAACTTGAAAGGTTTATTCGACGGTACAGGAAATGGTAAAAATGAAAYATCAGAGGTATATGTTTATATTACTGACAGAGAATATAATAGACTCATACATTTTTTTTCTCCCATCTAATAAAAAACCAAACATTCCCTCTGAAGATGAATCATGAATGTATCTGGTAAGTCCTAAGTCCATGCAATTTTATGACCATGTTAAGTCTTAAAATCTTATTCGGCGGTTACAAAATTTTTTTTGGTACAATACTGCAGCAATTTCATCAAATGCTTATGATAAACGATTGTTTTTTACCAGATTGACAAATAAATATTTTGAATTCTGCTATAAAATATTTGAGAAACTGCGGATTCTTCTGGAGGGAGCAAAAAAAAAAAAAACAAAAAAACTTAAGATATTTCAAAGTATTGTGTCTGTAAAATAAATAATAATTTTTATATAAATTAGCATTATAATGATTATAGAACTACAACAAATACCTATTGTAACTTAATATTGTAAATGTATTTACTTAACTGACGACTGTTATGGTGTAGTTATATCAGAATATTATAAACGACATATTATTTATGACTTCAATAGAATACGAATATGATAAACCTATACGTAGTAATATCTAAATATYGGAGAGATAGGTTTCCCTTTAAAAATTTGTCACTGTACGCACGTGCCTATAGTGGCTGCAAATATAAATAATTAATATGGGGAATTGGGGACGCGTAAAAACCTGGAATGTTAAACTCTGGAATTTAATATACCACTGATTACGCTGTTTAGTAATTCTCTAAATATGGACACATATTCGATGAACGCTATATTATCTATATTAGAAAAAAATCGTCATCATTTATTGTGTATAATATTTACGGTAARTAATCTTAGTATACATACCTAGCTAATGTAGATACCATATACGGTATAGTAAGTAACAACCGCTATCGTTATCGCTAATTTTTTTTTTAATGTAGTACGCTGCATCTAACATTATCGTTTAACGTACTATGCTACTTTTAAGTTACATTTTTAAAAATGTTTTGATTAAAAATTGTTAATTTATAGTTTGTATTTATTTAACATTTAATAAATGGTCAAGATTTAACTTCACGAGTTAATGGTGTATTAAAACCGAAAATTCACAAATACATTCCTTATTTTTACAATGTAAAAAAATACATAATTACATAATAGTTATCATAATATTTTAACTATAACTAAATAAATTGAAGGTAGTGTCAAATTAATAGTAATTTTTTGGTACACTAACCGAAAATTTGTAGCGMGCTAATGTATTGCACCGATCACTGTATAGTAGAAACCAGAATTAAACCGGTCGTTTTTCAATAACTTGAAACATTACAGAAAAATCAAAAAATTCCAGTCYCTGGTTAAGTTTAAGTTATTTTGCAAACCACTTGCGTAATTAGTGACTGCAGAGTGCAGACTGACACGTCGTTATAGTTTTTAAAATATATTCGTCAAATGACCCATATAAATACCTAGTTAGATTAATCATTTGTTTATCAAATATAATAAAAGGAATACAATCTTGTAATTTCGTATAATTAAATTGTGTATGTCATAATATAATATAATTTAATAATAATAAAAAAAAAATACTTTTAAATATAGTATATACCAATGATACAATGTTATTTTCAAACACTTTTAATTTCGATGGTTTGAAAAAATAAATCATTCCTCTTAATATTATTATGTTCTACGATACTAAGCAAAAACATAGGTACCTATCTGCTGTCTCAAATGTAACAAAGCAGTGGCGTACAGGTCCTAGAGCCCCCCCTCCCAAATTAATTGTCAGAATTTAAGATTTTTAAGGTGCAGACCGTTGACTGTATAATATTGTTGATATCATATATTTATCTCATGACTGTAAAATTATACGGTATACTCTACACGTCATTCGCTACCGGCAAAAAACCAATTTTTAATTCACATAATAATATTTCCCCTGCTTAAAATATTGAAGTGACTTCACGCTAAGATATACAGAGCGTGTTTCCCATAATAATATTATCATGACACGTACTGCTTCTAGTAATTCATCGCCGAATGCATATTATTATTATGTTGTCATCGACCACCATTAAACAAATTAAATAAGAAAATGTATCAAAATCTTTAAATTTTTCAGAGACCATTACTTTTATTAGTACCTATAATATCGTAATAAACTATTGCATGGCGACGTAAGGTATAAGGTCGTTTACTGTAGTTGTCTATCGCAAATCACTCTTCCGTTTTTCGACCTTAATAGTAAGTTKTCATCGACTCGCATAATATAATTGTGATATTTTATTAGTTTTTTTCGAATTTTCGGAAGTCTAACCGTTGGTAAAATAATATCATTATAAGAAAAGTAATAATTACTGAGTCGCGTTATCAACGTAGAACGACGACCTGCAGATCGATCGGTATATAAAATACCAACGCCAGTCGATGATCTGTTCATTCTCCATCATGAAGTCGAACAGGGTGGTTCTGCAAGCTTTTTTCGCTTTCACTTTTCTCGTAATCGCGTCCGGGTTGAATAATAACACGTGGTTCGTCCCGTCCAATACCACCGGTAGAGCCATGCAACCCGACATACCTTTTATGATGTTCATTAACGAAATATACAGAGGTAACACATATATTTATATGCTATAAAAAACTATATTATCAATGATAATAATATTATGTAATAAAGGGAAAGTAATTTAACAATTTTTCTTAACTTTTCAAGTTGATGTTGAAAAATTAAAACAAGTTCAKAGTTAAAATTTATTTTTCTGTAAATGTTACAAATTAAATAGAAAAAAAAACCGATAAGTGAATGTCGCTCTGCTATACAATAGGTTACAAGTGGGTCACTTTAATGCAGGGACGGAAACCAAAATAAAAGTCTTCAGTTTTCGTGTCAGTTTTCAAAACCAGGTTAGAGTTTGACTACTAAGGTTTTGAATTTTTGATAACCTCTTATGTACAAAAGTATTAAATTTAAGTATATTTTTAATACAAGACCTTTTCATTTAGGTTCATACTTGACTAACGACTACAAATTGTTCTACTGGATAAAAATAATTTAAAATATCATGAAAAAACTTAAGCCTATTATTAACTAATCAATAACAAATATTAGACTTGAAATTACATCAAGACATTAGGCAATTGTAATTTTTAAGGCCTTTTTAGTTTTATTAATTTTATTAAAATACAATTATAGATTATAAATCCATGAAACTTTTTAATTTAATATTWAATTTAAATACTTAATTACTGGTCAGGTGGCACTGCGGGAGCCTTTCTATTCGATAATTAATATTATTTTATGTCACCACGCTTACTTTATTATACTTTGTCTGTATAGATTGTAAATGATATTGTAATATAGGTACTATTTTAAATTAACATTTTATAAAACAATAATCTTTATAAGCCTTAAACAATATGTTAAATGTTAAAATGTTAAATATGTTAAATATGTTATGAATAATTAAATCATATATCAAAATTGTATAACGATTATAACAATTAACAACACAAGAAATTTATATTCATAATTAATATTTTTATAATACTTAATTTTTATTTTTAGTATTTTACTATATTTGGTCGTAGTATCATTATTTGTTCAAGTAAATTTGCCCCTGAATTTGACCGTAAATCGTTCAAAATAAACTTTAATGACAAAAACAACTTTTCTCTTTAAAGTTTATAAACAAAATATTTAAATAACAAATTAGATACTTGACATTCGTAAGACAAAACAATATACTTAACGCGAATAGTCTGTAGACACTAAAGCAGTTCAAATTCAAATAATGAAAATACGGAATCACAAATCATAATACTGAACATTATTAAACTCAATATATTTAATAAACAAACGGCAGTGATATAATATAGTGTCAACATTTAATTAATTAAATCTTAAGTTATAAATAATTATAACTTTAATCGCCCATAATATTTTTCAACTGTTATTATTTCAATTTATATTAAGGTCGATATACACTAACGGTACGGTCACGATCCCTAGCTGGATCGATAAAATACATCTATGTTTATATTATACATAGATATATTTTACACATCAAAAAACCATGAACGTACCGTAATGTGGATCAGCCTTTAAAGGGGAACCCTTGTACTAAATTTTCAAGCTTTTTGAACCAAAAAATACAATTTTATTGACATTTATAGAATAAAAACTTAAAAAGATTGAAGATTGAAAATGTCTACAAATAACTTTTACAAAGTTTAAATATTTAAAAAAWTGTATTATGTGAGATGATAAAATAAATATTTGATGAAAATTCAAATTCAAATTCAATTTATAAATATTTGAAGTTCAAATTCTTAAAATATTAGACATCCACTCAATTTATTTTGTATCGATGTTCTTATTTTGTTGCTATTCAAAAACGAATAACTGTAGAAACTTGTAAATTGTAATTTTACACCATATGTTTTTTTAATTAATTCTTAGATTTGATAGAATTTTCAAATCTTTTTAAGTTACTTAAAGATATTTAAAGTTTAAAATTTTTTTAGTTTTTTATTCTATAAATATAAAAAATGTCAATAAAATTTTACTCGTTGGATAAAAAACTTGAAAATTTAATATACACGTTTTTTTTATTTATTCGTATATAGTACAAGTTTTGAAAAATATATTAAATTGACAATTTACAAGTTATTGAGTTGTTGAAAGTTTATAAAACATTCAACTTTTATAGATAAGGATTGAAAATTTAAAGCAAGATTTCACGCATGTAGTTCATTCTGTAATAAAAAGATCTAATAATTATTCATTTTAAGTTTTTTAATATTTATTTTAAGTTCAAATTTAGATGAAATTACATATTAAATAACTGAGAATATTGACGTTATAGTTATATTGTCGTAATTTAAAAATATCATTCGTGGGTACTTTCTAGAATTCTAGAATATGCTTTATACTTTTATCGTTATAGTTAATGTCGTTAATGACTTATATACTAATACTTTATAGTTTATTTTATACATACTATGAATGACTCAGTGAGTTGGGTACATAATGAATCTGATATATATATAAATCTATTTTGAAAGTACCTGAATTAATTTTTTTTTTTTAATAATAAAATCACAATACTTTTAAATTTTAATATAGAACAAAATATTCTAGAATGACAAACCGTCTCCACTCAAAATCGTTTCTTGTATACAATGATATTATATCGTTGAATTGAAATTTAATACCATCTATTATAGTCACCCACAGTATACGTTTTAACGTTAAGCAGAGAGACATCCAATTACCAGATTTTTTTTTCATAACTCAATATTAAAGCTAATTTGATAAAAGTGTACAAACAAAAAAAATATATAAATATTATAGATAAAAACTAAATAAGAGCTGTTTTTGATAAAACATAGGAAAGTGAGGAGGAAAATCAATGATAGAACCCTATATATTAACAGAATATATAGACATCTATTTATTATGTAGGTTAATTTTTGATTAGTTAATATTTCATAGATCTATTCATGTTATTGTAAAGCATTGTAGAATAATTTAACTCATTAAGTTAGAAATTAATTTTTTTTTAATGGTAATGTATCATGTAAATTATTCAAATATTACTGAATTTAAAATTTTTACTAGTTAAATATGTTCAACCTTGAGTCTTGATGATACGAAGCTGAACCTGAGTCATGCCAAAGATAAAATCTGACCAGTATTTTTAGGAAATTTTATTTTTGTTTCAGGATAACCTTCTTTTAATAAATAATAATAATCACGTTATTTTATTAATATTACATATTATTAACTAATATATATATAGCCTAAGGCTCTGCGTGTGGAATGTGTCTTATATATATGTCTTATATCGTACATTGTACGCACACCATATATTATTATAATTATTACGATTTATATACCGATAATAATATTAATATATTTTTAGCTAATTACTGCCAGAACAAAACGTGTCCGGTTTGGAATTGTTCAGATGATTCGGTGATAATACACGGGTCGTGTTGCAAGTGTCCTAACATTTTCGGAGGTAAATAAATAACTAAATAATAATATCGTCACTCGGACAGTAGTGAATTTTACGTAATAAATAGTATGTACCTAATGATAGTCGATAGATAAAACATTACGGTGTAGCACTGTAGCAGGACATCGAACGATAATATTTTGTAATTCTCATCGTAAAGCCGTTAAGCATTTTAACTGAACATTTTCAACGAAGCGTTGWAATGGCAAAATATATTTTTACACGCGATCGCCGTGCAATTTTTAAATATGCAAAAAAATACCAAATATTATTTCATTAAACTATTTTTAAGGGATTCATTGTAAGCGTTATAACGACCGTCTATGAACGTGTTCAAAAATATTTAGACGCACTTCCAATAGTTTTGATAGTACACTTAAACCTATATATTATCATCTGTACATTTTTCTGTTTAAGAATTCATGTGATGTCCTTTATCTTATTCAATATATTATTTAATTGTTTGAATTTAAGTGGATTGCCGCAGTTCAAACTTTAAAAATAAGGCGCTTTCCTCTCTACTTAAAGTTAAGACATAATTTGCTGACAAAACTATAAGATTTTGGTTTAATGGATTTTAATTTGGAAAAAGAAAATACGCGATCAGTAAAAATACAAACAAATATAATTTTGGAACATT